GTCCTCGGTTCCGATGATTACGTGACATTCTAGAATCATCTTCTTTCCCCTCCCACCCCACCACCCCGATGTGTCGATAGGAGGGTATGAATGATATCGTTTTGGAATGGGATAACCGATTTGGCAGCCTACCGTCAAATTAAATAAATACGAATGGTTTTCCGCGCAACCACGCACCGTGACAGTGACTTGAAACTAACGTGCTGGTGTTGTGAAAGATGTATTTTTCATTTGAAGAATTGGCATTAGTTGCTATTGCTTTAGTTTATATGGTGAAGAATAATCAACAAGAGTAAAAGGAGATTTTCTGTACATCCTATGCGGCAGAAAAGAGGATTACGAGGTGAATGCCACACTCTCTATAAAGAACATTTGGATGGCAAGGCTCAATTTTATGTATTTACGTATGACAACGTAAATAAAAAATAATATTTACAAACAAACTGCAAACGGTTAGTATAAATGTATACTAACCTTTGCAGTTAATGATTTTGTGTCCAAAATGGTGTGCAAGATTATACAAAAATGGATATAATCATACACATTTAATTAGTTTTTCGTCGTCCATTTTGTTCGGTACGACACGCGCATCACTGCGTAGCCAACGGAGCGACTGTGCATACGCGGCGGAACCGCGGACGGGACGTGGCACGCCCCGGGCGGGACGGAGTAAACATCGTCGCCGACGATATTTTTCCCTTCCCGTTCATGCCACGTCCCCGTCCCGTCCGGGCTTCCGTAACGTATGCATTATCACGTACGTTTTCTATGAAACGATAATTCCAAAATGTCACGTCCCGCTCCGTCCGGGATAAAACACGTTACGTATGCAGCGACCTTTAAAGTTTTGATTGTAAACGAATAGGTATTCAGAGGCCTCTATTATTTAATTTTATTAGTAACTTATCATTAGTTTATTTAGTAGTAAGTAGATGACGCTATCATCAGATGAATTAATGAAAGCTAAAACTATGCCATTGAGTAACATCAGCGATAGAAGGTTGTGGTGCTACTGGAAAGCAACGAACTTTTATTTATTGCATGAATAAGGCATAAAATTGCGTTTATTCTGCTTAAGGCCGAATACGAAGAGAACTGGTGAAAATTAATGTATTTCTCTTGACTAGAACTTTGACCTGAAGTAATTCTAAGCTTTAAAACATTTTTGTAGGTTTGTTCGGGTCCTTCACAATGTCACCGTCATTTTAAAATTTTAAAATAAATGAATATACCAACAAATAAAAGAATGTTAAGAAATGATATATAATATTATTGTTCTTCCAAAACTCTGTGAATTTTAATTTAGAAAAATTCTTTTACGTAAAAATGTTTGTATTGTAATTCCGAAGGTACCTGCTATCTTTATTTTCGATACAAAATATTATTTATTAACATAATTCGTTTTAATTAAAAACACCTAATAATAATATCGTATATTGCCAGATAAAATTACCTGGCGCTTCGACGTGTGACGTAAGATAACAACAGTCGATGTGTCTGTAGCGAAAATCGTTAATTTATTGTTTTATACGCGTTTAAGTGTCTATAAATGTAAATATGGGTAGGAAAAGAAATAAATGTTACCTAAGTGGTAAAACAAAGAGAGTTTATCGCATGAACGCTGCTCGAATGTTGTATTTTGAGGTTAATACTTATATTTAGTAAGGTAATTTTTTGTTTGAGGCTGCCTAATACTATGGGGCAATCACCGACTTTTTAGTTTTTTTTTCTTTATTATTTATGCAATTTGCATTACGGCATCTTGTAAGACTCACAAGAACAAACATTTTCAGTTATATGAGATTCTTTACGTACGATGCACCAATTAAGAAAAAAAATCGTTATCAATTCAATAACTTTTCGAATAATATTTTATAACGAATAAAGTACAGAATTTATAATCTATTGGAACTAATATAATAAATAAGAAAAATTTATTTAAGAAGTAAGCAATGCTCTCTGTGTTGTTCATTACTCTGCATCTGAGCTAGTTCAGTCAAATATAATCAAAGCCCGTACGGCTTTGATTATAGGTATTAAACATGTATATATAAACAAAGCGTAGGTGCTGGCGGCGCGTGGTTTGCTGTGAAACTAGCAAGGTCATTCGCGTCGTATTCGGCCTTAAGACCTTGTTTGTGTTAAAATCATGCAATCAGCGCCGCTAGCGGTGAAAAAAATTATCTTGATATAACCATAATATAATGAAATAGCAATGCTGTTTAGTTATTTGAGTTTAACATCGTCAAACGATCTCTATTCATTGATTCGGACAAGCTATATTATGCCATCATGGACAACAAATAGTGTTAACTATTTCACGAAATGACAGACTACTTTAAGATATGAACGGTCTACGACCTGGCCGCGATATATGAATAAAAATCTTTTTGATCAAATTATAAGAATAATGAGAATTTTGCAATAATTGCAGGCAGACCAATTTAGATGAGTTTACTTATACATTAGTAACTGAAGTAAAAACCGTATACATTTTCATATTTTTCTTAGACGTCACTATATTATCTATTTAAATTATTACACTTTTAAAATGAAATAACGAAAAAGCTAAAAACTAAAAATAAGTAAAAAATAAACGTTCGGATTATTGAACAATTTTATAAATCTCTTAGTTTTACCATATAAATGTAAGTTATTTAATTATATTTTATATATTATTTTGTAGGGTAGGGTGACAAACGAGCACACAGTTCACCTGATGGTAAGTGGTTGCTGTGGCCCATTGACACCTAAATCCATCCTCGATTACGAGTCAAAATGCAGATGCGTTATTACCTCTGAGGACTAAAATAATGCCTTGATTCCAATAAAACGGGTCTTCGGTTCTCTACACTCAACACACGAAACACAGCAGCACACTGTTTCTTTGTCTTAGCTTTTGTCACTCTCTGTTGGCCTCTTCGTGAAAAAGCTAGAAGCCGCTATAGTAAGGGGAAATACACTTCAATGGTTTGAAACTTATGTAAAAAAACAGTGCGTAAAAGTAGAAAATTACACTAGTAGGCATCTGCATGTTCATTTTGGCATTCCGCGAGGCAGTACCCTTGCACCCACTCTCTTCACTCTGTACTGGAACGATATCCTGGAACAAAACTTGCCTAATTCAAATGCATCTCTAAACTTATCGGTTAGTGTCTATCGACTAGAATCTGCTACACTGTAGAACTGCGTGCTTAGCCAATTCTAACATCGACCTAGCTTTATCACGCATAGAGATAGAAAGAGGAGTACAATAAAAATATTGGTAGATTCATTTAAGTCTATGTCTCCACTGAAAAATGTGACTTTTAAACCAACGGTTTTAAAAAAAAACTCCTAACGTTTGCGAGGTCACATTTGACGTGACAAACCTGACCTTCGGGTGATTCTTTGAGTCCAAGATCAGAGCTGCTGCAAAAAAGTTGCAAAAGAGTCCTTGCAAAGGTGCGGCGGTACTTCATGCCGGGACAGCTGCTTACTCTATATAAAGCGGAAGTCCGGTTGTGCATGGTGTATTGCTGTTACATATGTGGACTGGTGCTGCAAATTGCCACCTCGTAGCTTTGGCTTCGATCCAAAGGCAAGCTAAAAGGCTTGTTGGACGAAACCAACCTCGCTAGTCTGGAGCATATGCACAAAGTAACGATTCGGTTTTCTACAGGAAGCTTTCAGAGAGTATTCGCAGGAATTGCATAACTTAATTTTTCCCCCGTCCTTCTACCATTGCACAACAGTACGCTCGGCCAGTCTCCAACCTTTCGTTGCCGACTTACCATACATTCCAACAACTAAACGATTTGCTACATCGTTCGTCATGCGTACAGCATTTGAGTGGAATAAATTATAAGGATCTGTCTTTCCATCCGATTACAATATGGGTGTCTTCAAGACAAGCGTGAAGTCTTTGTTAAGACAGTGCGCCTTACCATCTTCGGCTACATAAATAATTATCCTTTTTCCCGTCTGATTACGCTGATCTCTGCATCATCCCACAATCAGACCTGCAGTGCGATGTAATCCTGGAGGGAATCGTTGCTGGTGGGTATCATTCCGCATAGACCGCTGAACATGTGGTCATGTGTATTTTAACCATTACAGGTTGAGCGAAAACCATCAGTTAAGTTTTTTGTCGAGAATTTCTTAGTAAGAGCCCGCAATTAGGAAGTTGACGGTGTTTCACCCCCGTGCCTCAAGCACATAAAGCCGTTGGTTCTGTGCCTGATCTCTCTCCAGGCGTGTTAGATTGCTACCTCATCGGATTATGAGAGTTAGGAAATAGTAGATACACCCGTCCCGTACACAAACTCGTTCACTATTACCCTGTTCTGCGTAGATGGCTAGGCTACGTTGAGGCTGACTGCCGTGATCGGAATTCGGTCTCGAGAACATAATTTAGCGACTTACATAACCTAAACAAAAATGCTAAAATAATATATATATCGGCTTGTAATCTTTACTAACACATTCATACAATACAACTAAACCAAACATCAAATGACACATGAAGTCTTTCACATTTCCCACCAGAGTTATACATAGTCACTACAGTAGGAGAGTAAATTACTGATCTAGAGAATTGTTGACACGAATATCTTGACCTTTCATGCCAGTTTGCTACAGGTCACTTCCATTTTACTCTACACCACTACAACTTATTTGGACATCTGTGGTTTGTTCCAAGGCTCGCCATTTAGGGATTATCTTCGTTATGTGTAAATATAAAAAAATCTGGAGAACATGGTCTTTTGTCGGATAAGCTTTTTTAAGTTTTTTACCTCCAAGAAAGCTCGTTCTTCGCTCTAGAAGTATTTGCTTACGTTTATGTTTTCGATGATCCTATTTTTGTATGAATTTTATTTCTATAATCGATATTATTTTTAATTGTTATTCGTTTTTCAAAACGATACTTTTGTTTTTGTACAAACGTTAGCTTTTTCCGATGTATTCTGTATCATTTGATTTTGTATAATAATTTTTACAGAGTTAAATTGATATAGTTATCATAATACACCTAGCCTAACAAAGTCATTGATGACTCCATTCAATCTAGTTGCTGCAAGTTCGTTTGGTTTGATCGCGAAATCGTTGATGTCACTACCGCCGTCCATTTTTGGCGCGTTTTTAGCTTCAACGGTCACCATCGGCAGCAACACTAAGCTGATCATCAGACCATATGGCTGGATCTGAAATACAAAAATATACTTATTACCACGTTTTTATAAAGTCACTTTTGTGTTTGTATGTCTGTTCGTAAGTTGTTCCGATCTTTCCGATGAGCTGGAGGCTTAAATTGTTTTACATAGCTCACAAATGCAGCTTTCTTTAAACATATAAAGAAAGATGCGGTGTCACCTCAGAGGGCAAAACGGAACGTCTCACAGCACATCATACTGGCATTAGGATTACGTTATACGGGGTAGAGCCACGCTGCAACTATATTATGGTTGTAGCACGAATGGGTCGGATCAACCGGAGAAAGACAACGCTCTCACAGAATACCAGCGTAAAATAACAGCTTAATACTGCTGTGTTCCGTATGGTGAGTGTAGAGATCCGGAGACCCTTATTACTGGAAATAAGGCATTTCATCTGAGTCCGCAAGGGTGACAATGCATCTGCATTTTGATTCTTACTTGAAGATTGATTTAGATGTATGGGCCACAGCATCCACTTACAATCAAGTAGACTGTGTGCTCGTTTGCCACTCTTATTATATTAGAAAATATACTAAAGAATTATATAAGAAGCACTATTATTTGGCAACAGAAATAGCTGAAAAGAAAGTAGATTAAAGGAAGCCCAGGCAGAAAAGAAGTACCTTCTTTTTTACATAAAGATATGCCTACGCATACCCGCCCCGCTGGGTCAAGTACAGGTTATATCGGACTCGCACCGGCTACGAGGATGACACTGAAAATTCTTAGAAAATCAAAAACTGAACAAACTAGCAAGTTGTTAGTTTTATTATATCTTTTCAAAATAGTGTCCATTTACATCAATACATCGCTGCATCCGATGGAACCACTGAGAAAACCACTTTGCCCACTCATCCTTCCCGGGTCTCTTCGACGGCATTTTGAAAAGCCACTGCTTCCTCGGAGTCCATAAAATGTTTTCCTCGAAGACGGAAAAAAAAAAAAAAACGTTTTTCGATCCTGACTTGTCCTTCCGAAGAACAAGACCACCACCTTTTTTCCCACGCTTCGACCTCTATTCACTTTAGTTGGCAACTCCTCGGAAGGAAACAGCCAGACAGCAGACTGTCTCTTAGTTTCAGGATCATAACAATAAATTCAGCTTTCGTTACCCGTAAGTATGTCGACCACAACATTAAGTCACCTCCGTTAAATCTTTGAACTATTTCACGACACCAATCAACATGACAGAGTTTTTTGGCCTCTGTCAAATTATGAGGTATCCACCGGACACAAAGCTTCCTGACCGCTAAATTTTCGTGTAGGATTTTGTGCACTTGACTCGTACCGATGCCTAAGCTCTTCCGAATCTGCTGATAAGTCACTCTTTTGTCAGTCTCTATCATACGCCACACAACACTGATGTTATCTTCAGTCGTCGCCGTAAAAGACCGTCCCTCACGCAAATCATCGGTGAGATTAGTGCGACCACGTTTAAACTCATTAAACCAGTTGTAAACGGTGGCACGAGATGGGGCTTCATTGTGAAAGGCCAATCGAAGTCTATTATGACTTTCTTGTTGACTTAAATGTCATCGAAAGTCATAAAAAATCGTTGTACAAAAATTTTCTCGCGTTAAATTCATGTTGACATGACACAGACAAGTTTCAATTAGCCATCAAATCGATAACGCAATAACAAATGACAAAATAATAAAATAAAAACACAATAATATTGGCAAATATTTCCATTTTCAAAATTTGAACTTTTTTTTATTATATTGTTTACAAGCGACCAGTTCTAAAAACTTTCAGTGTCGTCCTCGTAAAACCCTCTAATCTATCTAAGAAGTATCTCCTAGACATTTCAATTACTCAAATTATTAGCAAAGCGTAAAGAAGTCACTATAATTGACAGCGATATCGGTGTAAGCACATATCAAAACGAATATTAATATATTTTTTTATTTACCCTTTCCAATTCGCATTCGAAATCTTCCTTTGGGTACACCTCCTTAGCGTTTATATGCAACCTGGTAAGAGCGTTGCAAAGTTCTAAGTAGTAATGATCGAGGAGTTGCCGATAGTATTTAGCGCGAAACTCCTCGTCAGATCCGCTGAATATAAAGTACGTCAGGTCAATGATCGGGTTGGAGATTTGAAGCGTCTGGTAGTCCACAATCACCACTTCTAACTGCCCGTCCTGGAAAACAAAAATGACAACATTGGATGAAATTAGTTTTGTACGGATTTTATCTCGCTTAATTAACTTTTTGCGCAGGAATTACTTATGATTTATTTATAAATGCTAAAACAAATACTTAAAATATTTATTTAAATTGAAAAAATTTATATATAAATACAACACATTTAAAATTTTAGGACAATTATATTTAAAACCTTTTGATATAAACTATGGTCGTAACAAAACCTTCTATTACGAGTAATTCAACACTAACGTCATCTAGTTGTGAATTGCAATTAATTGCAAATAATTGCAAAAAATAAAATATTAAACCTATACTCAATGTCGTATAGACAACTTTAGTGTTTTAATTAAGCACTTTTCGTCTTTTAAGGCAATAGGGGCAAATTTTTGTAAAGTTCTAAATTATGTCTTGGCGTTGTAAGAGTTTGACAAAACTTAATTTTCTCGACATCCGAATTATCAGATTTCTGGAATATAGCGCAACTCGTTAATAGTTAAACGTAGTTTAGCTATGAGAATCTTTTGCTTTTGTAAACTTAACGGTTTGTGCTTTTAACGTTCGCGATGACATGACCATAGATTTATTATACTACTGCGTAAAGACATACCTTTTAACCTTTTATATGCATGTTTAATAATTGGTCATCAGGGTGTAAGACCGGATATAAATTTAAAGCCACTTCTACTGCTTATAGAAAAAAGTTCATAACAGGAATTTGTTCTATCTTCACCGCCCAAAAACATATTTAAATATGATAAAAGCTACAAATGTTCTAAACGATTTTCTTTGTTTTTATGTTTCGTGGCATCTGATCTTATCCCTGAAATATAGAAATTGTAATTTTGTGGTCCTCAAACTTTGTTATGATATAAGATGGAATTACTCAATATAAGGGAAAGGTTAGATGCAATTGATTTATTTTACTCGAAAATAAAAATTTTATTTAAAAAAGAGTATTTTATTTTAAAAAGGAGAAACGCACGCTCGCTGCCTCGTTACAGATGTGCAGCCAACAAATATTTACGACCCTTATTATTGCTTTTTTTTCTTTTGTTGAATTTAATGATATTATGAATTTTCATCCTTACATATAAATATAATACCGAGTAATGTCGTGTTGTTTGGTGAATATCACACACGTGCAACTGCTTCCGTATACGTGACAGTCCTAAACGGGAAACGAGCGTACCTAGCGATGGGTCACCTCAAGTTAGTAACTTGAGTTTACCCATCTGTTTTATAGTCCTTTATAGTCAATAAAATGAATATAATTTAACTTTCTATGCCAATCCGGGTCATTCCACTCTTTAAATGGAAAAGTACTAAAACACTCGGGACAACATAACGATAACAATATCCAAAGGAAAAAAAATTATTACACGTAAACATAAGGTTGCTCTTTACTTGCATTAATAATCCGAGTGATATCTATTTTTTATCCCTTATCGTCGTAAACATTCCTGTACAATATGACGCAACATGCAACACGTTATGCGAGTACAAAAATGTGTAAATTGTAACTGTTTAAAAACAATTTAATTTATAAGTATTCGCCTAACGTGCCTTATATGCACCAGTTGTATACAATTTTTATAATTGTATATGTGAAATTATACAGTTAACTATGTGTGCTGCATTTTGGATAATTTAAATTACTATTATTATTACTAGAGGCTACCCCTATTGCCCCATTTTCTAATTTAAATTACTTGAAACTAATTTCAAATACAATGTCTTACTTTATACCGCGCAGTAGAAGCAGATGTCCGGACAGACAAATCCTTGGATGAGTAAAAATATAAATGATAAGAGATTTGATATCAGTCTTAAAATCAATATTTGGATAGGTAATACCTATCTCTTAATATCATTCAAATTTGTACACCTAGATTCTGGCGAATAAATTCATTTTAATTTCATCATCATCATCATTACAGCCCTTCACAAGTCCACTGCTGAACATAGACCTCCCTCAAGTAATGCCACAAAGCACGGTCCTGAGCCACCTGCATCCATCGACTTCCTGCATGTCTTACCAGGTCGTTACTCCATCTAGTGGGTGGTCGCCCTACACTACGCCTACCGGTAACTGGAACCGAAACTGCCACTCGAGAACCTTTCCTCCCCATCTGTTATCGGTTCTTCGAGCTATATGGCCGGCCCATTGCCACTTCAGCTTACTAATCCGTTGGGCTATGTCGGTCACTCTGGTTTTACTGCGGATATCCTCATTTCTAAGTCTATCACGCAGAGAAACTCCGAGTATAGCCCTCTCCATAGCTCGCTGAGCGACCTTGAGCGTCCTCATACGGCCAGCAGTGAAGGACCATGTCTCTGATCCGTAAGTCATCACTGGCAACACGCACTGGTTGTACACTTTAGTTTTCAGATATTGAGGTATCCCTGACGAGAAGATGTGTCGTAATTTCCCGAACGCTGCCCAGCCGAGTTGAATCCGTCGATTGACCTCTCGGTCGAAGTTGGACTTACCTAGTCGGACTATTTGTCCCAGGTAAACGTACTCGTCAACAACTTCGAGCATAGTGCTCCCAACAACTACGGGCATAGGTGTGACATGGACATTAAACATGATCTTTGACATTGTACTCTTTGGTCTTCTGTACAATCTGCCGCAGGGTATGTATATGGTCTATGGTACTGAAACCTTTTCGGAAACCGGCTTGTTCGGGAGGCTGGAAGTCGTCGAGTCTGCGTGCGAGACGATTCGTAATGACTCTCGAAAACAGCACGAAGACACGTCTCAGAAGGGAAATCGGTCTGTAGTTCTTCAAGAGAGCGTTGTCGCTTTTCTTAAAGAACAAGACCACCGCACTTCTGCTCCACGCCTCCGGAGTAGTGCCACCATGGAGGACGGAATTGAAGAGCTTCTGAAGGACTTCAAGTACCGGTGTTCCACCCGCTTTCAGAAGCTCCGCTGTAATTCCATCCTCGCCTGGGGCCCTGCCGTTTTTAAGGTGCTGGAGAGCCATTCTAATCTCGCTCAGACTGACGTCCGGGATATCATCGGAATAGTGTCGGATAAGACTTGCTCTTGGATCGTTACTCACACTTGCGTGGGGCTCCAACGATGATGTGTACAGCTGCCCATAGAACCTCTCAATCTCACTCAAAATCTCAGGTGTCACACTCAGTCTTCAGCTTTGACAGTTGGCTCTTACTGGCAGACAGATCACTGGCAAAGACTTTGGATCCCTGGTTCCGCTCGATCGCTTCTTCAATACGAGCAGTATTAAAGTTGCGTAAGTCTTGCCACATGCATTTGGAGATCTGTCTGTTCAGTTGCCTGTATGCTGTCAAATCTGTTGACGATTGCAGCCTCATCTCCCGTCTAACAGCCATGAGATTAAGAGTGTGATCGGAGAGTTTTTGTGTTCTTCTGCGGCGGGTCTTACAGAACTTAGCTCTGACCGCACAGTTTCCACGAGCTTGTCATTCATATCGTCCACTGCATTGCAATCTTCTAGGCACTGAAAGCGGTTACGTAACTCGAGCTGAAAAGTCTCGGGATTCTGGATTAGAGCACGAGGGGGGACGAAGCGTTGACTTCATTAGACGAGACCTCTCCAACTTAACGTTTAGGTTCAGTGTGCCTCTATCCATTCGGTGATCGCTGCCGGTTTTCACCCTTGCGATCACTAAGACATCACTGAACAGTTGGCGTCTGGTCGTCATAATAAAGTCAATCTCATTTTTTTTCGAACCGTCGGGGCCCGACGAGGTCCACTTCCTGTGGGGCCGCTTCTGGAAGAAAGAGTTCATCATAAAGAGTCCCTCTTTCTCCATAAAGTCAGCCAGCTGCTGGCCCCTACGGTTCCGTTACCCTACTCCAAATTTCCCTAACTTCAGCTCACCGCCTCTCTTGTGCCTAGTTTTGCGTTGAAGTCTCCCATCAACACCGTGTAGTGGGTTTTGGAGGAATGCATGGCTCTAGACATATCCTTCATACATTTCCTCCACCTCCTCATCGGGATGTGCCGAGGTTGGTGCGTAGACCTGTATGACCTTCAGCGAATACCGTTTGGTGATTCTGAGTATCAGGTACGCGACCCTCGTCGACACACTCCCAATCTTTACAACGTTGTTGATGAGAGACTTGTGGACGATAAATCCGACACCTCCTTGGGACAGATGGTCGCCCTCCTGGTGATAGAACAAATTGCCGAATTCAAGGATTACCGTGTCCTCCCCCTCCCTTCGGACCTCAGATAATCCAATAATATGCCAGCGCAACTTGTCTCCCTCTTCTTCCAGCTCCAGTATCTTCTCGTCAGTCCTAAGGGTGCGTGCGTTATACGTTGCCAGGTCGAGTCGTCGTAGGTGGCAACCGAACCTCCACCGGAGATTCTTAGCACCCCCTGCCCCGCCGTTACCATGGTCGCCACCGTAGCCAGGAATAGCGGGGCCGCCGGGGACTGGGGGCCGTTTATTTGCGTCGTTGCTCATGGGGGGATATTTGCCATAGTTGCCACGCTTGGCGAGCGGGTTGGCAACCGCAGTTTTTTATTATAACACAGTTGTTATCAGGAAGATGCTGCTGCCCATCTCCTGCCTGTCTCCGTCTGTCGCCTCTTACGACACCCACGGGAAGATATGGGGTAGTGGATATTCTCAACCGCCACTACACGGCTCATTTTAATTTACATAAAATAAAATAAAAATGTTAATAATAATAATAATGCAAATAATATGTAATGTATGTAAATATCAAATTTAAATTATTATTATATGTCCAATTATTCATTATTTAATTTAATTTTAAGAACTACTACTAAATATGAATATTATTTCTAACAAAAAATAAAAAAATGCGTTTGCCAATCCGCCTGCTAAGCGAGAAAATATGGCATTTATCTCCCTTATGAGGCATATTGAATGGCACACCATGGCTATAATGAACAAATGAGTTAATAATAATTTTTGTACGTGGTAGAACCATGCTGCAGTTGTATTAGTAGTATAGTTGTAGCACGAATGGATCGGCTCGACCGGGGAAGGACCACGCTCTCACAGAATACCAACGTCAAATAGTAATAATGCTGCTGTGTTTCGTATTTTGAGTGTAGAGAACCGGAGACCCTTTTTACTGGAAACGAGGCATTCCATCTTAGTCCTCACGGGTGACAACGCATCTGCATTTTGATCTGTAATCGAGAATAGATGCAGATGTCTATGGGCCACAGCAAACACTTACCATCAGGTAGACTGTGTGCTCGTTCGTCATCCTGTCCTATAAAAAATGTTTAAAAATGCCTTTTCAAGTTGTGGATATAAAAAAGGTTAATAATGGTTTTCGCATGTAGTAGAGCTACGCTAGAGCGTGTTATGGCTACAGCACGAATGGATCGGCTTAACTGGAAAAGCATTACGCTCGCTAATTTGGAAAAAAATATGCCTATGGCCGCATTGGTATAAACTGGGTACGGTCGTGACAATTTTCAATGGATCGCAGATAATTTTGTTAGTATGCCACTTAACTGGAAGAAAGATGTCTTTTATGGTAAAGTATACATTTATCTACGTAATAAGTAAAGTAAAGTAAAGTAAAGTTACAGCCTATATCCCCACATCCCACTGCTAAGCACAGGCCTCCTCTCAGAGAGGGTTTTAGGGCAAGGAATAGTCCGCCGCGCTGCCCCAATGCGCGTTGGCGAACTTCACATGTCTTCGAAATATTTTTTCTCAGACATGCTGGTTTCCTCTCGATGTTTTCCTTCAGCGCCGAGTACGTGGTAAATCAGCACTTATACTGTAATTAACAATTTCATTGGTGCCGGCGGGGATCGAACCCGGTTTAAATTATTTTAGGTTGTAATTTTATCTACGTAAAAATACGAAAATTTTTCACCTAAGTACAATAGTTAATAATGAATAATGTACCGTGGGCGTCTTAAGAGGTCATAGAGGAAACTGAAACAGCAGGTGAGCAGCAGTGTCGCCTTGATAATGACTGAAAAAAAAACGGCGGAAATAACTATGGTCAATCAATGGGGAGGCCCATGTCAACTGTGAGCTTATAGGTTGTAATGGATGCAATGGATTGATTATTAGTTTGTTTTTGTCATCTTACGAGTAACATGACATGACAAAAATATCTAATTTTAATTCAAGGTTAACTTATTCTTTTCTCTATGTTTATGAAGCGGAGGTTAAGAAAGATTTATACCCAGGTTTTGTTGGCCAAAAGGTCAATCGTGTTAATAAAAAAAACTTAACTATATTTTAATTACACTACGTTAATATATTTATTCACATAACAAAATACTATGGTAGAGACATGCTCCTGCTATATTATGGTTGTAGCACGAAAGGGTCGGATCGGTCGAGTAAGGGCCATGCTCTCACAGAATTCCACCAAATACCAGCCGCTAAATGCTGCCGTGTTTTGTATAGTGAATGAAGAGATCCGGACACCCTTTTTACTAGAAACGAGACATTCTATCTTAATTCTCAGAGATAGCAGCACATCTGCATTTTTATTCATAATCGAGAATAAATGTCAGGTGGTTTGTGTGCTCGTCCGTTACCCTTATTTAATAAATAAAACATCTTTATTATACTTAATGATAATAAAAACCTTAGACTTAAATATCATACAGTCTAAATATCATACTACTTACTCGTCGCGGTATAGTACTAAGAACGAAATTGACCGTGACATAGTGGCTTAGCAATGAGTGGCTGCGCTGGGGTCGCGGGTTCGAATCCCACACAGAACAAATATTTGTATGGCCTACAAATAATTGCTTCGGATCTGGGTGTTTGTCCTTGTGCAATTTATGTTTATAAACTGCCTCCACGATACAGGAAAAAATCCTATTGTGTTGGTAAATCCGAGTCTACGCTCATAGCATCACACACATCCGGCTTTCTCTGTCTCAAGGAACCAATGTCGTAATATCGTGTCTTCTACCATCGTCTCTAAATATTTCACGAAGCTTTAGACTTCAAGAGCTCAAGAGTCTTTCGGATAACGTGACAGGACAATCTTCAAAACTTTTTTACATGACAGCCCGTGGAATCCTAACTCGTAGACGTCTCTACCACTAGTGACACTCACTGGCAAATATATTATATTAATTGTAATATATTAAATGTAATATATTAATTATACTTACGTAAAGTATTTAATATTAAGCCTTACCTCTCGTGTTCTGTGCATTAAATTACTGTGCCTAAAGTCTCCATGTGCAATGATAGGCCGACGTGATGGCATGAGTAATTTGTTGAATTCATTATTTTTAAACTTCTGAAGGAACGCTAGTACTTTGGCTTTGTTTTCTTCTTTGATCACTTCCATAGCCATGCGTATTATGCCCTCCATAATATGCTTGTTCTTGGGGTTGTCCACTGTGCGTAGCTTGAACTTCGTGTACAATGCATCAAACTCCTCAGGGTGTTCTTTACTGTAGGCGATAGATAGAGCATGTAATTTGGACAGTTCTGTGACTGATTTGGAGGCGTAATTCCAATCGAAACTCTTCAGTCTATCGAGGGTATCAAAGCCCTGTGACGATAAATCTTCCAGTATTAGAATTTCTTTTAAATATTCTCTATTGCAACCGTAATATTTTGCAGTGGCAAGCCTGTGTTCACTCGGGACGTTGTGTTGGTTCTCCATATCTTGAAACTGCTTGAGCAATTCCGAGTAGAAAAACATTTCAGTTTCGAATATCTCAGATCGCGCTTGAGCTCGTATATTCTCGTTGACAATCGCCAATTTCGCAAACAGTTTGAGATCATCCTTCTCCGGTGCGGATAGCGTGATATGATGCAGTTGAGAAGTGTAGTTGGCTCCTCCCGTGGAAAACAACTGAAGTTTAGTTTCATAGTCTTTGTAATCGTTTTCGGTTGCGATAGTGTCCAACAAGCAGCGCAAAAGCTGCTGCGCGTCCGACATTTTGCGGTTCCGTGGACGTACTACGCTCAATTCATTGATATAGTCCAAATATAGTCTATTAACGTCGCCGTTCGGCACCCGTTTAGAATGCGACGGGACGCTGACGACTTTTTCGTGATTTTTTTTTGTACAGGACAGGTGTTGCAAATTAGAAATGTTAACAATCCCGAGAAGGCTTCCGATCGAACGTTTGAGATTGTCGCTTACCAAGCGTGAAGGTTAAGGTAAATTCCTATAATGAGTGAGGCCTATATACAACGGTGGTCGTTTACGAATAGATGAAAAGCAAAGTGAAGATGTTATACAAGAGATCACGTAACACCGAGTGTATTGTTGGTTCTTCCCAGAGTAGAGTTTTTTAAAGTAGTGGTAAAAGAAAAATAAGCAAACTGTTTGTTGAATTGTTTGTTTGTTCAGTTGTTGAACAAAAAAGATTCTATTATATTCTCTTCTATTCACGAATCCTATATGAAAACTAAAGCAAGTGGACTGTAAGTTGATTGATAGTGAGACAATAACGAATAGATGGTGTTGCCCATTTACTATTTCAGTTACTCTCTGTCAGCTATTACGACACCCACGGGATGATATGGTGTAAAGGATATCCTAACACCGCCACACACATGCACGGTTACGGTTAATAAATAATAATAATAAATAAATCATTTATTATGAACCAAACCTTTAGTACATTTTTCACACCCACCAAACCTCGTAACAGTTCGTCGGCGGGATTAGCGAATGACAAACAAACATTTTTTTATGCGATTCTGGTCGACATCATAAACTGTCCAATGGTTTACTAAATTTGATATTTAGAAAAAATTATTAAACATGAATATAAAATGTATTATACTGACTTATTACTTCGCGTATTCGTGTCGTTGCGTGTAAAGAGGAGACGCCACTGTGTCACACACACACACACTAGTGACTAATTCTGTTTCCACAAATATATTTTTTTATTACCGTTACCATTTCAAATAAATCGAGAACTTGGTGATAATAATAAAGAATAAATTAAAACAATTACAAATTATGATTAATCTTCGATGTCTGATCCGGTTTATAAAAGAGTTTTTAATCGAGTTTCAAGCGACTTTTTCTAGATAAGTGATCTGACATAGAAACAAAAATAAATTATTTCGTTGAAATATCTAATGACCCGATTACCTCAGTAGCATCTCCCAATGGTCTAGCCATTGTAAAGATAAAAATGAGCAATCATTCTTATATATTTTATTATATATTGTTGTTATATTATATATATATATATATATATATATATAATATATAAAATATATATATATATATATATATATATATATATATATATATATATATATACGTAAATACTGACGCCTGCCTCCCAGAGGGGTACCTAGACAAAAGACCAGACAGACAGACCCGGGTCAAAACCCGAGTTTCTCGAGTTCTGCGTGGCTTTACTTGTGTGCTTGAACTACCACGCGCTTCTAATGTATAATGTATGATAGGTAATGTGTGCCCGCTAAAAATGTGATGTAAATGTCAATTTTAAATACATCTATTGTTAAGGAAGGCTATTAAAGCTAATTCCGTATTAATAACAAGCGTGTATGAAGAACTTAGACCATATGGTCTAAGATGAAGAGTGATATAGGAATGGATCTTCCATGCTTCTAAGCGTAGTACATCATGTTATTAACTAGTGTTGTGTTTTATTCTGTCTCACACGCAACTTTATCCGCGTAGAACACTAGAACACTTGAAAATAGTTTAGTCATCGAAAAACAACTATAACCTCAATGTTTTGCCATTATCTCGAAAACTCTGTACGATATTGAAAAATAATCAAAACAAGAAAAATCGTAGATCTATTAATTTTACATAAAATGAGAGTGAATGAATGCTAACATAAATAATTGTATGTCTTCGCGTGAACAAGGTGTACCGTGTGAACTCGGACTGTTTACTGTTTAGTTTTTACACCAAGGCAAGGTTAACATAATAAAACCACAGAGTATACGATAGTACTACACATAATAAAACGCAGCGAGTGTTTACTTTATGATCTCTTTCTGTAATCTCGCTTGCGATAAAAACGAAAAAAATCGAGAAATGACAAAACACTGCTATTCTAAATGAAGTGTTTTGTTATTCAATACGCACTAAGTAACGTCTCAATAGCAGAAAGCAAATAGGAAATGGCACAGTCTTGTTTACCCTCGTATCTGGAGGGTCTAATTAGACGATAAAAGTAACTGACCCCTTATTTTATCTCTGAGAAAGTTTCGCTGTTCTTTGTACTTAAGTAGAGGATGGTTTGACTAACTGACTCATCTAAAATTTGGACAGTAGCGGCGTTTTATAATGTAGGCATCCACTGAGAAAGGATGTTTGAAAATTCAACCCCTAGGAGGTTAAAATAGGTTTTTATGTTGCATATTATTTTACGGGGCGATTAACTCGAAACTTACTGAAGGTAATCCGTAAAGAAAATAAATGAATTGGGATTTAGTGGTTTCTCAAGACAACCCTTTAAAGGGAGCTAGTGGGTGCTCAAGTTTGAATGAAGAAAAATTGTAAATGTAATTTTTTTAATTTCATAATTAGTGCATAACTCTGCAATTAGAAATATCAAAATTTAACATCTACCCGGTCTTAAAATGAAGATGCAGTAGGTATATATGAAAAATACTGTATGAAGACGCACAGCCCAAAAAGCTAGATATAGGCATCTGAAATTTGGACAGAAGGAGCCTTTTATGACATAAGCATCCAGTAAAATAATTTTGGAAAATTCAACCCTTAAGAGGGGTAAATAGCATGTTACAGTTTTTATGAAACTTAATTTTACAGGGCGATTGATTTTTTTCTATAGGATAAGGGTGGCAAACGAGCACACGTTCCACCTGATGGTACGTAGCTGCTGTAGCCCATAGACGTATACATCTATCCTCGATTACAAATCAGAATGCAGATGCGTTGTCACACGTGAGGACTATGATGGAATGCCTCCTTTCCAGTAAGGAGCCGTCCACGTGAGGCTCGAAAGGGGAGGGGGTGAGGTAATGGCAAAAATCACGAAATATCACAAGGAGGGTGTAGTAAGATTACCACGTGTATTTATTTTTTCGTCAAACGCGCGATTTATAAACTGAAAAGCGACGTGTAGTGTGACCTTGGCTTGTCTATACATGTAAATTCATGTCAAAAGCATGAACCTAATCCAAGCAATAACAATCTAGAGATGCACAATGTTTGTTCTTCACGCATCCTCACGTGACGATCGATCGGCAGATCGAGAGAGATTCTCTGCGTGGTGCGCGAAAATGATGACGCCGAGTGACTTGACGAAACCGACGCTGATCTTCAATAAAGCACAGTGCCAAAAACTTACTTGCAAGATGCTTATCCATTTGTTCTGTTGAAAAAAGCCTTTGGTTCAAGGACAATGTACAGTAAATATGTTCATCTAGTACAAAATATGTTTCGCATAATTACACCATTCCTTTTAATATTATTTTTATGCCAGTAAAAAACAACATGCAACCCTTCGTCTAGACATTTTATCATGGTAAGGACCATTTCAGACTAAAACTAGATTACTTTACGAATATTATGTTTAAATACTTTATACATGTATTTAAACATAATATTCTAAACATTTTAAGATTCTTTGTAGGTATTAAAAAACACGTGATTTTGCGTGGGGGAGGGAGGTGGTTAGTCTTAAACCTCACCACGTATCACCAAGAGAGAGGGTGGGTTAAAAAATGTAAAAAAAAAACATCACGTGATTAATGGACGGCCCCTAAGGAGATTCTCCGGTTCTCTACACTCACCATGCGACACACAGCAGCGTTAAGCTACTATTGTGCGCTGGTATTCTGTGAGAGCGAGGTCCTTCCCCGGTCGAGCCGATCCATTCGTGCTACTAATGTAGCTGCAGCACGGCTCTACCATGTACAAAAAATTGAGACTTACTGAAAATACTCTGTAAGTATATACTTATTACACTTATATAGTCATAAAATAAATAAAAACGTATTTTGAGATTTTTCAAAACACCTATATAGTGTTCAAATAAGTATGGAGAAATATTAATTAATGTATTTTTTTTTCAATTTGATATTTGAAGCATATACTCTTGAATTAAAATAATAAAATAATTTTTTTTTATTTATACGAGGGTGGGAGTTGTTATGAAAAATATTCATATGATGCACAACTAAACCGCTGGATATAAAAGCATGAAATAGTGAATAATATATTATTTTGAAAAATTCAAACACGCAGAGGGTGAAATAAGGTGTTACAGATTATACGACACTTTTTGTTTTACGGGCGATTTCATATTTTGATATTGCCATTGGTCATGTTGGTGCAAGGTGTTTTTCCCACAAATTCGCCTTACAACTTTGCAACGACAATAAATAACGCGTCTTGAAGACCGCACAGTAGACTCTATTTCTTTTGAGGACGCCTCGTTTAGTTTAAAGAAGAAACATGTGTCGTATTATAGACGGTGGTGTGTATTTCCCAGTGTCATGGTGTTGGGAGTAGTGGTGTCGGGGTTAGTGATGTAGCCGTAGAAGGAAAAGGGGAGATCTCCCGCCGGGCAAGGTGTTGCGTCCGGGAAGCGGCCAACGCACCGTGTGATAGTTCGGAGCTGTTCTATATATACTGTTTATGATTTGGAACATTGATAGCGCGATTTAGGCTTCGGTGTGTTTTGCTTGTGGCGCGACGACCGCTCTCTCGCTCTCCGACTGCTCAGACCGGAGGTCTGATAGTGCAGTCCGATTGCCGGTGTGTCCTTTAATACCTGTGGGGAATACATGCTGATTGCGTAAGGGCAAGTGACACCGGCGCGAATGATATGCCGATGTGTAATGCATGCCGTACTACGCACTGGCAAGTGATGCCGATGAGAACGATGTGCCGGAGCAAGTGCCAGAAGTCTACCTTATAAATCTGCGGTGAGTTGAGATGAAGATAAGTTGGACTGGCTTGCA